TGTGGGGTTTCTTCTGGGGATGATGAATATGTTCTAAAACTGATTATATTTGTAGATGTACAACTAATTGCACACTTTAAATGGGTTAGTTATATGACATATGAATTATATCTCAATAAACCTGTTAAAAATTTAAACAGGGGAGGGCCGGCCGAGTGGCGCGATGGTTAAGAACTCGCTTGGGATGCCAGAGGGCCCCGGTTCGGATCCCACATATGAGGGCCAGTGACACTGCCCTCCACAGCTAAGATGTTGAACAACAGCTCAACCTGGAGCTGGGCTGCCATGAGTCGCCGGCGACGGCGTAGGCTGCAGCCCCCTGCAGCCCCTGTGGCAGTGGGTTGCCATGGACTACGGTATGTAGCCAGCAGCCAGCGTGAGCGGCCAGCAGCCGCAGTGAGCGGCCGTCCAGAAGCCGGTGACTGATCTGCCTCGCCAGAGAAGAGCGCAATGATGGTGCCAACTTGGGCCAGTGAAGCAACGTCCTCCACAACTAGATTGAAGAACAAAACGACAGCAACTTGTCTGTTCCCCTTCCCCCAATTCCCCAGCACTGTTCCCATCCCCCCAATTCCCCAATAAAAAAAAAAATCTTAAAAAAAAAAAATTTAAACAGGGGAGTGGTACTGGCAGAAATAAAGAAAGAGAAAGAAAACAAACCATAATGGAAAACAAAATACACGTACCCTATATTTCTGCTCACCGGCAGAAAGCAGGCCACGGGGATGTTTTGTTCAGTCCACAAAGTACATTTAAAAATCTTTTGAAGCAACTAGTAAAATGTAAAGGCCAAGAGGTTTCACATTTAGGAAAATATCTGCATATCTGCATTTTCTTTAGCAAGGAAAAGAAGAAAACAATATAACAATACTAGGCTTGTATTCCAACTTGGGAACAATCTACTGGGGCTGAAGGTGGACAGCCATTTAGAGACGTGGCTTGCACTTACCCAGTTCACCTTAGTGCCCACCAGGCAGGGTTTCCACTCTAGTTTGAGTTTTTCAGCCACGGAGCTATTGCTTTCACTAGATTTTCAAAGGAATCTCTGACTCAGGATGAATTCACAGCTCTTAGAAAGAGGTGGCCAGTACATGGGGGCTATTTGCTTTATAGATAAGGAAACTGAGGTGACTTGCCTGAGGCCAGAGGGGCATGTAGTCAGCAGTAAAACTACTTTTTCCAACTTTTTGGTCCCTTTCATTTACTCTTCCAGCTCCCTGCTAATATTTCTAGAGGGTTTATAATCACCATATTCTGCTCCTTTTTCGGTTGCAACTGAGGGAAATCAGTAAAAAAGTTAAGAGCATGCTAGACATTCCAAAATGGTATGTGATTTTCAGACTCCGTGATCTTCTAATCAGGAGCAAAGTTTACCTAACTAAGTCCCTTTGGTCTGTGTGGGTATCTTGAGCAGGACCTCTTGGCTCATATCCCAACAAACCCTGATGCTAGGAAAATAAACAGAATGTTAAACTCACACACAGAGCAGGGGGGAAAAAATCCCAAGAGAGTCTGTTTTCTCCAAGGTCACACAGCACACCTGCTACAGAAAGTACAAGTTTCTGACAGACAAGGATGTTTCCCCCTGGGGCTAGGTGGTTTGCTCTTCTCAAAAATGACCATTTCTAAGAAGCTCTGAGTCCACAATCAGTAAAAAGAGGAGAGAGCTTTGATTGTCCAGTCATTCACCCCATTGGGCTTTGAGTCTGCCTGGAAGAAAACTCTGTATAATGGCCATACAGAGTTTAGGAAGAGGTGAGGGAAAAAAGAACAACCAAATCCACCAGGTTGATCTCTCCAATCAAAACACACAGCACAGTTGCAATCCCAGGATATCTGACCCTTATCTGGTCCTGAATCATCTCAAGATTCATAGCCAGCGCTCTGAGCAAATGCCAGCAAGCAAACTGCTGACCAACCAGGGCTGGGAAAAGCACCTGTCAATGTTATTGAGTAAATATCTTCATTTCCAATCAAAATCAACAGGGAGGTTCTAGGAGAGGCATGTGCTTGCAATCCCTGAGAAAGAACGGAATCTCTGAGGCAAACAAAAAGACCACTTCTCACTGATCCCAACTGCATAACTAGTCCTGGCATTCTGAATAGTCTCTGCAATTATCTGTACTATAAATAACAGGAACCTCTTCCCCAGAGATATGGAAATACCAACACTCATGAAGAGAAAGAAAGTAAAAGCAGCATTGGGCTGCCCCCAACAATGGGACCTAGTAAACAAACGTTCGCGTGCCAAGTCCATCCGAAGAAAGTTTCCAGGACAGTCCACTGCTACCCGCACCCCACACCCTGGAAAAGTCCCAGATTCCAGGCAAAAAAGGAACCCAGCTGAAAGGAGGCTCAATCACCATATTCAAAGTATAGGACAAATCACATTATGGACTTTGTCTGAAAAATCGCTTTTTTTTCCTTAATTGTGGTAAAATGTACATAATGTAGAATTTACCACCTTAACCACTTTTAAGAGTGTAGTTTGATATTAAGTATACTTACCTATTGGTGGAGTAATCTCCAGAAGTTTGTCATCTTGCAAAACTGAAACTATACCATTACCCAGCTCTTTACAGCTTGTAGGAAGGCATAATAATGTCATCCTAACTACTCAACTAACTAAGAATTATGAGATAACTATATATTCTGAGGATGTGTGGAAGGAAGAAGGATGCATGTGAGTGGTAAGTGCAGGAATGCAAAAGAAAACTAAACCTTAACATTCCATGCTGGAAGGACAACATATGATGATTAAACCAGAAAAATCAAGGAGGAGCAATATTAGCCTGATTTAGAGACACAAGTAAGCACCAGCTCGCTAAGAGATGAACATGACTGCTCTTTCTGAAAAGCAGGAAATAATGGACAGTTCTACTGTGTTTTAGCAATAAACCTTATGGAATTATTTGACTCTGAACAAAAACTAAAGATCTAAAACTAAGACGTAAAAAGGGGAAAAAAATCACAACCAAGTGCTCATTTCAGTGGCACACATACTAAATTTGGAATGATACAGAGATTAGCATGGCCCCAGCACAAGGATGACACACAAATTCATGAAGTATGCCATATTTTTAAGGAGGAAAAAAAATAGTACAACTGAAACCCACATCAGAATACTTTATCTACAGAGATACAGAGAAACTGAGGGTTGCTAGATGCGAGAGGGGTGGGGATGAGGGAGAAAGGAAGGGGATTAGAAAGCACAAATTGGTAACCAAAAGATTGCCACGGGGATTCAAAAGACAGTTTGGAGAATATAATCAATAATGTTGTAAAGATTTTGTAGGGTATCCAATGTACACTTGTCTTATTAGGGAGACCACTTCATGGATGGTGTAGATGCCTGACCACTGCGCTGTACACCTGAAGCTGAAGCTGAATAATACTGAATATCAACTATAATTTAATATATATATAGTCACAGGATGTGGAGTACAGCATAGGAAATAGAGTCAATGGAATTGTAACAGCTGTATACGATTTCAGAGCAGTAGTAGATTGGGAGAGGGAGGTTATCACTTTGTGAGGGGTATATATCTCTATTACATTGTTTTGTACACCTGAAACAAATGTGTTTTAAAGAATACTTTATTTAACAATGATGGTTTTTTCACAGGGAATAGTTTCTATGTAGACTTCTGATGTGACACAAAGAAATAACTGAGTTATAAGTGGATGGCCACTTTCACTTCCAACATTGTATGATTCTACCAGGAGATTGATGAAAGTCATTCTGAGAATGTGTGGGATCTTCAGCCTATACTGAAAACCCCTGATTAAAAACCCAGCGAGAAAGAAAAAGAGGCAAGAAATATTTCAGGCCCAGTATTTATGAAATTGTTGATAGTTTTGGCATAGATGTCCTACTTAAAAAAAAAAATTAGTTGTGGTAGAGTTGTAAATAGGTAAGACCAAAATTTGTGGCATACAACCAATATGCTGCCTGGGTTTTTCCCCTGTCCTCTGGGATACAAGCAACTCAAATGCTATTTAAGCCCTCATCTATCCAGGCAAATTTAATACTACTTCAGGGTACTAGTCCCCAATTTTAGCCCCCCAAAAAAAGTTCATGCCAGTTCCATCTCAAATGTATTACAAGTGAGTGGGGTGGGGGGAACCTAAGAAACAGAGTCTTACAGCTAAACCCAAATGCCAGTCAAGGCAGAAGAATACCTTTATCAGTAGTGGAAAAATCCAAAGCAGATGAAAGATGAAACAACAAAATTTGTGTACAGGGGAAAAGAAATTGAAGAATTCAGTTCCTGTTCTGGCAGTTAAGGGCGATCCACTTTCTCCCCAGAACTATCAAAATCATACGTATGGATGCTCTTAGTGTTTTAAAGCACTGGCCTGGGTTCAAATCTCAACTTTGTTTTTCTCCCTCAGCTTCATTTCCCTCCCCAGTAAACCAGAGGGGTAGGGGTGGGGGTGGGGAGGCAATGCTATGTAGACCTCAGAGTAGATCTCATAGGATTATTGCCAGGCTGGAATAATAATCACAAACTCTTGCAACCCGCTAAATACGTCCAACATTATTCTAAGTGCATTGCATATGTAGCATCTCATCTAACCTTCACATTATAAATATCATCCCATTTCCAGAGAAGAAGCCAAAGCACTGCAGGTTAAGTAACTTGCCCGAGATTACAGCTAGTGGTGGAACTGGGAGGCTGATTCAGGTGATCTGGCTCCAAAGAAAGTGCTCCTAACACCCATACTATGCGGAAACGAGCTCACTTTGTCAAGCACCTTGTACTATGCCTAAAATACAATGTGCTCAATAAATGGTACTTATTCACATATAGTGTGTGCCAGCCCAGACAAAATAGGGGATAGCCAGGTTGAGGTTTGGCTGCCTTACAAGAATCCAAGGCATGGCCAGGGTCTCCGCTCCTCTCCTGAACTGGCCAAGCTCACTTCTTTCCCAAGAGTCCCCAGCGGCCGGGGTCGCCCTCCCTCTCCAATCCTGCAGAACTTCCTGTTGCGCTTTGCGCCAGCAGTCAAGCCGACGCGGGGGACTCGAGGCTGCGAGTTACCGGGGGCACAAGGTAGGGAGGGGATGGAGCGGCGGATGGGGTCGGCCTTTACCTTGACCTGCACTCTCATCGCTCCGGGTCTTTCACGCGGGGCATGCGGGGACACACCGGGGTTCGTGCCCCCCTGGCCGCTCCAAACTGCAGCTTCTCTCCTCACCGATCCCAGCTCACGACACGTCCGGCCTCCTCTGCCGCTGGCCGTAAGCGGAACCAGAGTGCTGCCTTCACTTCTGAGAAGTGTCCCCGCCGCCCTAAGCTGAAACCCCGGCCCCCGTTAGGTGTCCGCTTTGACCCACCTCCGCGCTGGCCCTGGAGCGGGGACTGAGGGACGTCCCTCTCAGCAGTGCCCTACGTTAGCCGAACTCTCGGATATGATAATCAGCTTAGAGTGCAAACTTGAGGGCTTTGGAAGGATATTTCGTAAGTCTTAGCTATTCTAGATCCTAGTTAGATACTGGTGCGATTGACCCCACCCACAGCCACCCAGGCTTCTGGGCTCAGATCTGGTAAATCGCCGAAGGCGCATTGCACAGCCGGCGCCTGCAGTCCAACTTACCTGTAAGCGCTCCACTGTAGATCGGGCTTTCATCCTTGACTCTGAGGCCCCGCTACCAAAGCCGTATCTGAGCTTCTGACTTGTGGAGTCAGATCTGGGCTCCACCTCCACACGCTGCCTTTTACAGCCCCGTTCGTTTGTCACAATACCTTTTGGCCTCAGTTACCTACTGTGTAGAAAGGAGGTGACCTTACCTAGATAAAAGGCATACAGCGAGGGTCAAATGGGATGTTGACCCTCATCCTAGACATATTTTATGGTATCGTATTGTGCTTGTTGAGTCAGTGTGGTTGGAGGAGGCCTTGGGAGATGTAACCTAACAGCACTGCTTTTACTACCTAGGAATTACTGGGTGTGTCCAGTGACCCCTCTGGGCCTGAGTTCAACTTATCTATGCACTGGGAGTGATAGTGAATAAACCCACCTTCCCCAGAGGTTATACTGAACAAAGAAATTCATAAAATACCATGCAAATGCTTTCCTGATTTTTTGTATTTTTGGTGGGTTCCCCTGACTAGGCAGTCTTGATAAAAAGCTGTGGTCAATGACTATGGGTGGATCCCAGCATGTTGGCAGAAGTAATGCTCACTTATTACAAGTGTTCTGATTAACAATGCTAGCCATTCATCCCTGATATTTGACTTCAAATCAGGAGCACCAACCCATTTAGTCCTTTCTAAAGATGTGCCCAGTGAGCTCACATTTGCAGACACAGTTAAAAAGTCCACCCACCACCACCACCACCACCACCATTTCTCAGTGGATTTTTTTTTTAAGATTTTTATTGGGGAATTGGGGGGATGGGAACAGCGCTGGGGAATTGGGGGAAGGGGAACAGACAAGTTGCTGTCCTTTTGTTCTTCAGTATAGTTGTGGAGGACGTTGCTTCACTGGCCCAAGTTGGCACCATCATTGCGCTCTTCCTGGGCGAGGCAGATCAGTCGCCGGCCTCTGGACGGCCGCTCACTGCGGGCTGCTGGCTGCTCATGCTGGCTGCTGGTTACACACGGTAGCCCATGGCAACCCACTGCCACAGGGGCTGCAGCGACTCATGTCAGCCCAGCTCCAAGTTGAGCTGTTGTTCAGCATCTTAGCTGTAGAGGGCAGTGTCACTGGCCCTCATATGTGGGATCCGAACTGGGGCCCTCTGGTGTCCCAAGCCAGCTCTTAACCAATGCGCCACTCGGCCGGCCTCATTTCTCAGTGTTTTTAATGAATATTTCTTTATCAGAAAACAAGCTTCTCATATGTGTAGTGCCATTTTGTTCCTGTTTTTCTATCAACACATTTAATCTCCTTTCCTCTTCTTGACTTAACTCCTTCAAAATGTTAATGGTCTGTAAGCAGTTAAACAGATTTAGAAGCCCCCCTAAGACAAGTAAACACCTCTTGATTGGTGTTCCTCCATACATCTTCCCTGTTAGGTCTCTCACAGCACTGAAGACTGAAGCTCTCAGAAATTTGCAGACCCACGAAGACCAGACATTTGGAACCCTGGGTTCTTAAGAGTCTTGGTGCACTGTGACTACCATCTTTTAGTTTCATCTCTTTGGTAAATTTACAAGTTAGGGTGATCATATATTCTTTTCAGATTAAGCTTCAAGGCACAGAGTTTAAAATACCAGGGCAGTGCCAGGCTAGTGGCATGATGGTTGGGAGTTGGCTTGGGACACCAGCTCTGAGTAGCAGGGCCCCGGTTTGCATCCCGCATGCGGGCAGGTGACGCTGCACCCTCTACAGCTAGGATGGTGAATGGCAGCTCGACCTGGGTCTGGGTTGCCCGGAGTCGCCAGCGACTGTGTGGGCTGCAGTGGGGCTGGCTGGCTGCCTGCGTGAGCTTTCGTGAGCTGCCATGAGCTGCTGTGAGCGGCCATCCAATGATCAGCGAGCGACTGCCTCACCCGGGAGGAGCACAATGATAATATCAACATGGGCCAGTAAAGCAACATCCTCCACAACTAGACTGAAGAACAAAAGGACAGCAACTTGTCTGTTCCCCTTCCCCAATTCCCCAACGCTGTTCCCTTCGCCCAATTCTCCAATAAAAAAATCTTAAAAAAAAAAAATACCAGGGCAATTCCAGGGCTTAAGGCATCTAATGAGTTAGTTTTTCAGCTGCCTTTGGTTCCCAAGCTGTACCAAAAACACCTGAGGCATTTGTTGGAAGTGCAGATTCCCAGGCCCCACCCACCCAGACCATCTGTACTGAAATTTCTAGGGTGGGTCCCTGAAATCTGTATCTTTCACAATTGCCTCAGTCAACTTAAAAGCTGGTCTATAAAAGTCTCCTGGCCATAAATACTCCTATGTCCAGAAACTGGCTATGAAATTTAAAATTTAGAATGTTTATTAGCAGCCCAGTGTGGTTTGTTTCAGGCCAACACATATTTCCTGAACACAGACTGTTTGTCAAGCATCCTGCTGGGCACTGAGAAAACAAAGATGAATAAGACATTGTCCAGTCTGCAAGGAGTTTGAGTTTGTAGGAGGAGAAACAATCAAAACTGAAACAGTACCTGGAGCAGTCTGCAAGGAGTTTGAGTTTGTAGGAGGAGAAATAATCAAAACTGAAACAGTACCTGGAGCACCATTGGTAACACTTATCAACATAAATAGTGCTTTATTTTTTCATTTTGTTGCCCTTCCTATCCCTTTCTTCCTCTTCCTGTTCTTTTCTCCAATGTTTTCTTTTATGTCAGACCTCCCTTTTTTACCATGGATATTATAAGTATCTTATTCCTGATCTAACATGGTTTTAGATACTGCTCCAATTTTTAAGATCAACCTAATGATTTCAGAGTGGAAGGGAACAGCTGATTTTTCAGCAGAGAAAAATTGGTATCACAAGATTTTTTTTTTTCAACTTGTAAAGATCTTAATGAGTTCCAGTAACTGGAAGCCACTAAGGGGTAGTTTTTATTGTTTGCATTCTTCTGAAGAAAATTGTTTCAAGCCTGGTTTTGGTTTTGCTTCCTTTTCCTTTATTTAGACAGGAGCAAGTGTTGTTGAGAGCTTTGCACAGTAGTACTTCCCAACCTCTCTGGACAGCCCAGGGGGAAAAAATGAGAAATAAATAGTTCTATTTCTTTGCACCAAGTAAAGAAAGGACACCATGGGAAACTTCTTGCCCAATCCATCATGGTACATTATCATCTCTGGTTTATTGCCACCACTTTCCTTTCAGAAGCGTAAAGGAAACAAAATAAAGGCAGTGGTAATCTGAAGGGGGGAATGGAAACTTTGATAAGCCTAGAGGGTAGTCCACAAGTGGAGTAAGTTCCACAAGTGGGGAAAGACATGGGTTATTCATTTAAGAAGTTAGGTAAAGGCGTATTGCCAGTAATGAGTGAGGACTGAAATTCAGCTCTCTCAATCCATTCCTGTATAATTGTTTGTTTTCAGGCTTTCCTAGGCGTTTTTCCACCCAAGGTGTTGAATTTGAGTTCCATCCATTCATCCCCTCAACTGCTACAAATCAAATTTCCTTTTGAAATAAAGCAATATTTTCTTCTGCTTGCTGAATGTTTTTCTCTTATTCATTGCTTCTGTGGCACTGTGCTCCCAATTTGTTTCTCTGTTTGCTGTGAAACATGGTTATTATTTTTCCTGTCACGTAAGCAAAGATTAAAATATTTATGGTTGGCAAGGTGGGGAAATAGGAACCCTCAAATACTTCAGATGAGAATTTTATTTTATTTTTTTAAAGATTTTATTGGGGAATTGGGGGAGGGGAACAGCGTTGGGGA